TCATCAATACATCATCAAGAGTCTCAATAAAACTCGTCATTAAATTAAAAACTGTGTGTTGATGGAGAACAGTTACGTTTGGGTGACTCTCATTTTCTTAGGTTTCTTATATGGAGTGACTAAGCTAATATTTATTTGAAAAAATTAGTTGTGAACCATGAAATTTCATATTGTACACAACAATTCTCTGCTCGCAGTAACATAATCATACCATTATACATCAAAATAAACTTTATGATTATTACCTCCCAATATAAAATAAATCTTTGTTAGCATTATCTATTTTTTGTTTTTTTTTATATTTCATAACACAATTAATTTTGTAAAAAAATATTTTTTAATAATTGTTGAAATTGATTGAGACATTCCTCCTTAAACATATATTGCGAATATCGTGTAAAATAATTGTATAATTTAATCGATTAAAATGTGAGATTGAGATATAGAGATTATAAATCATTTTCTTTGAATTCCATTTTAAACACTGTTTTTTAATTATTATTGAAGTTGGTCGAGAGATTTTTTTTAGCTACTAAATTACAATTAACATTAGTTTTTTGTTTTATCTTATTGATTACAATAAAATATTAAATTAATTTATTCTTTAAAATCCATTTTCTTCAATCATGTAATCTCATATATTATTTATAATGATTTATTCAATTACTTTAAGTTTTTTACACATATTAACATATGACTTTTATTTTAAAAATTCTTGTGTTTTATAGTCTATACACAGAATTAGACAGGTCAAAAGCAGATATGTCTGTAGGCACATATTCAAAAACTCCTTTACAGTAAGTAGTAAAAACAAAAAACATGTACATATAATATTGTTTTGTGTTTTTTTCTTAAATTAAAACTAGTTAGTAATTTATGCAATGTATATGTATTGTGTGTGTGTGTGTATATATATATATATATATATAAATTAAAAATAAATTTAGAAAAATCATGAATTGTATGTATCAATATATATATTACTAATTAAAAATAAAATTTATATTTTATAAATAATTATATATAATAAAGTTATTTTAAATAATATTTTTTAAAATTATTCTTTCAATTCTATAATCACAAATAGTATGTATCAAAATAATAAAATTATAATAATTGTAAAATATATTTTACTTTAAAATAATGTATTTATAGTATATTATTAAAATAAATTTAAATATCAACGATCAATATAAATTAATAAATACTATCAAACATGTAATTTAATTATAAAATTTATTAAAATAAATTAAAATGTTTTGTTAGGATAAGTTGTATCAACAAGTTTATTACAATAAATTTATATATATATATATATATATATATATAAACAAGTCATAAGTCATATTTTCATAATCTATTCGTGATTTTTCTAAATAATTTTTTAATATTATAATTATGGCTTATAAAAAAAAGAAAAAATATATAAAAAAAAACAATTACAAATCCTTAAGTGATTAAAAAAAAATCGAGTCTTGACATTGGGCGTGTGTTTTTGTGTATATATAATGTTAAATGATATTGTTCAGAATCAGAGGAAATTATTTAACATACTATACAATTTTGTGAGATCTACTTTGCTATTTTTTTCTGTTGGTAACACCGAAATGTATATAGCGTGATTGGTTAATACCCATAATCACATTAAGATAAGGTACATGTTGATAAATATTCTTTTAAAGAAATTGTTAATAATTTGAAAATAAAAATATCAAGTAAAATGTAACATTTTAAAATGATAATTAATATATTAAATGTAGTATTTTTATTAAATTTTAAAAACTTAATTTTTTAAACCAGTGATATTTGACAAAACAGACATTAAAATAAATTATGATCTCCATCGCATCCATGCATGCATGTTTCAGGAAAGGATAAACTTTGCAAGTAAAAAATAATCGCTTTTACTTCTAAGTAACAAGTGATTTTTAATACATGGTAGGAGTATTATTAAATTAAAATAAAGTTTTAAAATAAATAATGAAAAATATTTCATGACTATTTTAAAATTTAAGGTTAAATATGTTTTTGACAATTGATAAAATTTAAGTGTGTAAATTTAGAATAATTGAAAGAAGGAACTGTTTGGCATATGGAAAGAATGTGGATGGAGGGAGAAATCATTTATTGATCTTAAAGCCTAAAATTGTGGGTAACGAATATTGGAGTTGTTGGAAGAAGTTAGTTACATTGGAACTGTACAGCATACGCTTCAGATCTATGAAAACAAGCATTGCCGCTCAAGTCTTTCTAACTTCATACATTGTCTTGCAGAGACGCACGTGCATTTTACGTTAAGAAAACCCACCTTGTCACGTGATCCAAGGCTCTTCCAAACCTGCTCTATCTCCCACACTTCCTCTTCAAGCCAAGCCTTTTCTGTCTCTTACATAAATATCCTGTATGAGAAAATTTTATAACATTGTAATAAAAAAAGAAGAAGAAGAAATGTATTAAATGAATTTTAAAACAATAAAACAGATGCTTTTTTTTATTAAACGTATGCTTTACAAAGTAGTAAAATAATTATTCTCTTACATAAATAATTATTAAGAAGATATAACAAAACTCCATGCATAAATATTAATTAATTCTCATACTTTCTAATACAAAATGCATAGTCTAATAAACAATATGATATTTAAATTCTTTATATACACATTTCAAAAATTAATAATTCAAAATTAATTTTATTTAACCTTGAAATGAACAGAGTCCAACTATACAAACTAAAGAAAATCAATAAACGAATTATGTTAGGCAATAAACGTAACATAATTTATCACAACTCTGATATGAAACATGAATTTAGATTTTGATAAAATATATTCGCATAGCAAATGTAATACTATTTGTTAGACTTATTTTCGTTAATGTAAAAATTAAATTGACCGCATACACATTTTAAGTCCATGTTCGTAGGCCCGCTCAGGAACCTAAACTCTACCCACCATAAATACCACAAAGGATCCATAAGAAAACTATCACAACCTTTTTAAAGCCTCAAGCTCAAACCAAAAGTAAAAAGGCTCGAAAGAAATCGAGGAAATCGCATAGCCTGGTGAACGAAAAGATACAAAAATGGGTTGACCAAAACATTAAAACCCACGCACCTGTTGTAGCAAAGATCCAGTCCATGGTTATGTTGGTTTTTTGAGCTGTTTGCTGAATTGACCAAAAACAAAGATGTTTGCTTAATCTTCTTGATTCTCCTCCCTGCACTTTCTTTCTTTTATTTTTCACATCATCCAAACATAATATCAGGAATAAAGATTAAGTGATTTAATCTCTCTAAAAAAATTATTTTAACATATAATATCAAACTTAATATATTAATTCAATCATACAGTCTTAGACAATGTTAAAATGATGAAAAGTTATAAAATTTAATCATGCATTTATCGAATTGATATAAAATGGAGTGATAATATTTTTACATCATTTAGTGAGGTATAAAATAGGTGTAAGAGAGATATAAAATAAACAAAAGGAAAAATAAAAAATTTATGAATGACATGAAGAAAAACTAATATAAATAATTGAATGCGCATAAAATATTAAAAAATTGAATGTAAAAATATAATTATTATATATAATGAATATAAAAAATATAAAAAAATCTTGAATTGAAAATTCATTTGTCTAATAATTTTATAGTTTGTCATGGCAAAACTTGCATAATTTCCTCCCACACCAAAAGTTCACACCCTTTCTGCTATTTTGCACATGAACTCCTACATTTTTAATATTTAATTTTTATATTTTCTTTTTTTATTTTTTGTAACACCATCAATCATATTATTTCTGTATTTCTCTTTTCTTTACCTAAATTACGGAAACGATAATTATTTTAAAATAAAACAAAATCGCCTACATACCCGTTATACACTTGTACATACTGCACGTATAGTTTGTATTGCTCTTACAATAAGCAATATTAATGTGAGTGTCTATGATATTGTCATGTAATAACACTCCAAAAATACATGTGGATAAATATCTAAGCGTACCACACTCTTTTATCCTAACACATCTTTGTAAAAATATCAATTGCAAATAATATCATAAATATTTTTAAAACAGTGGTTATTTTTTATTTTTTTACAATTATTATAGTGATTAATAAATATTTACAATAAAGAATACACTCACTTGTTTAGTATTCTTGAAACGTTGTCACTTAGCAACACTATATATAATTGCTCCTGCGATTGGTAAAATTAGTATTAATCTATAGAGAGATGAAGCTAGTCATCCAATGTAGGAGCAATACTGTCTTAATAGTACCGTATTCACTGCATACTATTAAATATAATTTTGTTTAAATATACACTATATGCGTGGCATGTGTACTTGCATTAGTAAATTTTGTCACTTTGAAAGATGATACCACATTTGATGTAATGAAAATAACTCGTAAATTATTTTTTAACACTATTTTAATAAATAAATTTAAAGAAAACAATTTTTTGAACCCCCTAAATTACACTAAAAAAGAGTACAATTGACAGCAGCCACCCTATCTCAACTCAAATGGCGACCCCACCCTGCACGCTCTTGATCTTCTAAAGGCCTCTTTTTTCTAAGCACAAAGCTTAAATAACCTTTCCTCTCCATTCATCTCCTTCTTTTCCTTTCCCTCAAACCCTAATTCACACACCCACCCACTAACTAAGATATCTACTCCTCAAAGACTCCCTCTTCCTAATTTACTCCTCCGCCCTTCCCCTTCATCCTTTTCCACTCTCATCTCACTCCCTACCCAATTATTGAGATCTATATGCTACCAAATATGTAATTCCCTCTTGTTCTTTGCACCTTATAATCTGCATCTTCCACCACTTGGGACTATTCCTCTCATTGCCACATAATAAACTATTTTATTTTTCTTACTATTTGGAATCCCTTTTACTATCTATGTATACCTCCTCTCCTTAACTTCCGCTTCTTCTCTCTTTATTGTTTCCTTTTTCTTGCTTCAGCAAAGCAGTTAGCAAGCTATGGATTCTGGTAATAGTGGAAGTATCTCTTCTAGTGGCGATGAAGAATATGATTCACATGCTCATCCATCGTTCCTTAATCATCCAAACTCCCATTTTGGCTCCATCTCTCATGCCCAATCGCCCCTCGTTGATCCTTCTCATCCCCCAATGTTTGATCTATCTTCAGCCTACCTCCGCACCCTCCCTCAATCCCAGCCAAACCAAAATCCCCATTCCTTGTTAAATTTGGACCCTCAAGCCCAAAGATCTGAACCCAATTACAGCCACCCTACAAGCTTACCATCTTCATCGGATCCTCAACCCTCATCTTTACCGATTACCAACAACGTAGTAAGAAACTCAAAGAAGCGAAGCAGAGCTTCAAGGCGTGCTCCCACCACGGTTCTCACCACCGACACCACCAATTTCAGATCCATGGTTCAAGAATTCACTGGAATCCCTGCACCACCCTTCTCCTCCTACTCTCGCCGCCCAAACCCATTGCTTTCAACTCCAAGAACCTTGTTACACAACAATATCAACATGACCTCTCCCAATAACGCTACCAATAACTCCATTAACTACCAACTACCTCCTGATCTATCTCTACCCTATCACAACCCACACAACATCATGCAAAATCACCCTACACTCGCATTCCAATCCTCTCCTCCTCTTCACACTCTTCTCCCTGCAAAGTCTTTACCCATGCCATCGTTTGATGATGATGTGGGTGTGAGCCATGGCCATGTGAATGTGCATATGATGGCTACTACTAATGGAATATCTGGTCATGAACACGTGGCTTCTGAGAACATGCCTCTGAGGAGCGCTGGTGCTGATGCTTGTAGAGATCCGTTTAGGTCTTTAGATGGGAACTATGGTAGCTGCAAGCTAAACATTTCATCTTCTGTTTCGAGTGGCTTGAACCATCATGAGAAGACCTTAGAGAATGTGTCCCCAAGAGGGGAAGGTGCCGTGGATGCGTGGATTTGTTCTTCTGATCAATAGGATTCGATCGGGTGAGAGTAAACAGTACGCCACTTGTGAATCATTACATAGTAGAATTTGATATGATGCAATGAATTAAGATCGTGATCATGATGACGTTGATATCATAGTGGTTTGGTGGTTAGCATTTGCAGATTTTTTTCGCTTTTCCGTTTTTATATATATATATATATATAAATTTTTGGCATTGTTGAAGTATAAGTAGCTAGTGTGCAATTAAATTAATTATAGCGCATAGCCCTTTGATACATATTTGATGATCGTGTTATTTTTTCTTCTTTATTGTTGAGTTCTAAAATGAATACTGTTTCGGGGAAAATTAGTTCCCCCACATGATCGTACTTGTGATCAGATCGGATTTTCTAATAATGCATTAATAGTAAAAAGTAATTAATTATAGTAAGATCGTAGTTCCTATTAGTGTTGCAAAAGAGAATTGGGAGTCGTCAAGTTCGAGATTAATACGAAATTATTTATTATTTTCACTTGCTAACTTAAGTTTTTATAGCATCAATTTTTTAAAAATCATGTAGTAGTTTGATTTTGATTATAATTGTCATTTATTAAAAATGATTAACTTAATTCAATATCAAATGTTAGTTTAATAATTAAAAAAAGTTTCCATGTTTTAAAAGGATTCAGATCATGTATATCTAATTGAAAATTATTGATGATTTAACATTAAAATTAGACTCTTTTTGGTGATGGCACATGTCAGCATTATTCTAAAAGACAAATTGAATTATTTTGAATTTAAGTTTCAACTTGACTTAATCTTACAAGTTAAATTGTACTGAAAATTTTATGAAAATTATTTTTATTACAATCAATAATGTCTCAATATTAAATCAATCATAAACTTTAATGTCTTCTTAAATTTAGATTTAAGTTTAACGTTAAAAGGTAAAAATTATTTTAATCTTTATAAACTTTACTTTAATCTCTCTCTCTCTCTCTCTCTCTCTCTCTCTCATAAAGATTTGTGTGTAAACAAAGGAATGGTTGAGCGACTGAGTTGTGCATACGACTCTTATGTACCTATGGAGCATCGTCCATTAAAGAGGGGGGAGAGAGAGAGAGTGATACGATGATATTGGTATTTGCAAGCTGGAAGCTACTCTTACGGCGGCCGCAGCTTGCAGCTGGTAACACTCTTCGTCTATGCGGTCCAAATCTGTACCTAAGAATTTTGATTTGGGCTATAGCCCCCCCTTTTATCTTCGTCTGTATGTTTCTACTACACCTTATGTTGCCCTTGAGCATGACGTCATTCGCTACGTATTGTTTACTCTCGCAATTGTTTTCTAATACCATAATTATGAATCTCTAAATTTGATGTATAGCTAAGGAGAACGGAAATGTTTTTTGTCAACTTCTAGCACTTTAAATAGCACAACTTTAATGAGAATACACAAACAACATCGCCATGATCTCACTTTAATTTTTGGGCTCATACGGGACTCCTTCCTTTATGAGGAAAAGAGAGAGAGACACAAAAATTAAAATGAATTTATCTTCTCTTGTTTTTATCATGAAATTGATGTAAGGTAAAAACTATAAAAATAAGGTGTTAAAAATAACACTGTCTGTACAAAATTGTAGGGATTTATCTCGTATCCATCCTTTTTTTAAAGGTTACAGATGCTTATTGCTAGTTATTAAATATATTTATTATTATTATTATTTTGTTTATCGTTTAAGATTATAACACACAAATTAAGATTTTTTTTACTTTCTATAAACTTATTTAATATATTTTTTATGTTATTTATTTATTATTTTAACATTTCATATGCTGTTATTTGTCTCTCTTTTATTTTTCATAAGGATGTGATTGAACAATGATAATCGATGTCATTTTAAAATGATATATAGATAACTAGAACCAATTAAATTTTTTTCTTTAGAAGTGACATATAAAAAAATAAAAGATTGTAATTAGTTTATTTAAGGATATTAAAATTGAGAAACACTTCGTAACGAGAATAAAGAATAATTTTGTCATCGTTGATGATGATACTAAAAAGAGATTATTGTTATTTGATAGGGCAGTTGAATATGAAGGAAGGAAACATAGAGGACATGGTGGCATGTGAGTCTTGCCCTTTCGGAAATTGGAATGATGGGGGGTCCGTGGCAGAGAATAATCTGATATATAGCGAATTGCAATGATATCACCCTCCCTCCTCTCCAACTTTTTCGCCATTTTCTCCTCTGCAAACTGCACTCCTCTGTTTTCTCAGTTTACAGTGTCATGCTATATATGTAAGTGACGCAGCCATTAAAATTGCTGAATGGCTATTTATTGCATTTCTTTCTCTTTTTCCCCGCACTCGCACCTCTCTCTCTCTCCCCTTTCCACATGAAGAAAATGCATATGTATCTGGGGCATAGGTAGACATCAGTTCTCTTTCACTTTTGTTTTTGTCTTGTTCAATTCTTATGATTTTTTAAGACTGTCTTTTTGTTGATTTCGAATTCCATCTCTCTCTCTCTCTCTCTCTCTCTCTCTCTTCTATTTTCCATTCTCTTCGAATGGTTGTAACTTGATTATTGTCCTTTTAGGTCAGTAAAACAAATGAGAGCAGTTTGGGAATTGGGTCACTTATTTCTTACTAGGTAATGATTGCTCTCTAGTTTATTTATTTTGAGAAACTATTATTATTAAAATTATATATATATATATATATATATCTTTAAGTCTGTGGATTTTTAAAATTAGTCATATTGTACAAAAGACAACAAAGAAAGTAATACTATATATTATATAGATGTTAGTATATCCCTATTATACAAAATAGGGGTGGGGGGGTCTTAATTAAAAATTCTCTTTCTTTTTATTTTACAAAATCTAATACAAACAGGTGACATGCAATCATCTATTTATTTTCAGTGACATTTAACTTTTAAGAAGTGAGCAATGGAATTGCTTCCAGCCGCTCTTCAATGATTCAACAACAAAAAGCTAATTTTTACCGGGATTATGTCTTTTCATGCACAAAATAATAATTATTATTAATTTTATATTAAATAAATAAATTAATAATTTATTTAAAAAACATAAATATTTTTTAATCTCTAAAATATTAAATCCATTACAATTTTGAATTTAAAAAGATATATAGTATCCTTTTAAATTTACAGTTACGGAAGATATATAGTATCCTTTTAAATTTACAGTTACGGGTACATGATCATTCTCCTTAACAAAGATGTGTTAAAACCGTGTATGAATAAACTTATTAGCATCGTGATAATTGTTTGGAATGTATGGGTTTTATCCTGGGACGTGAGACTGATTTAGAAAACTGACATCTTATTGTAAAACTTTACAAAGCTGGGAATAATGATAAAAAAGAAAATTGTTACTATGATATTCTATGACATTTTTTGGTATCTCAACTTTTTACCTCTAAGAGCTTTATGAGTGTATTGACAAAAGAAAAAAAAAATATCAAATAAAATTTAAAGTTTTTGATATTATTTAATATTTTAAAATTTAGTATTTTGTTTTTAAGATAATTAATATTACCTAAAAAGTATAGTTTTAATCCATATATTTGAAGTACTTAATAATAACCAATTTTTTTTCATTAAACACGTATTATTAATTTGGTGGTACATGCATAAAATACGTATCTACAGGAGAACAAAGTCATTTTGAAAAAAATGTGAAACCTAATTAATTTTTTTTTTCTATACCATGTCGCACCAAATTAGGTTAATTGGTTTAAATAATTTTTTTATACTTATAAATATTTTATCATAAATAAATTTTTATTTTAAGAAATTTTTAAAGTTTAGTTTTTTTTTTGTTTAGTTTAGGTCTTAAGTAAATGATTTAGTCATCATTACTAAGTGACTTTTGTTAATAGTAAATTAGCTGACTATAATTCATTCAAGTTACCATTGGCACGTATATCCTAGTCACTGCTTATGTCCATGCGAGGTAGTAAATTACCACAGATTTCATATCCTTCACACCTTCCAACTTTTGTTGGGACGTTTACTGGACTTTGAGTTTGTTACTTATGATTAGGTTTAATTGTCAACTGTATGTCCATTAGTCCAATTTTTCCATGGTGTATGCCTTGGATGATCTTTTGAGTCTATATTATCATCTTTTGCTTCCACGATAGTTTAGTGGTAAGCTAAAGGAATATGAAATGTACCAAAGTTCAAACTCAGTTCTTTGCAAAAACCACGTCCCTGTTCCCCTCTCTCAATTCCCACACCCCGCCATTGTAAAAAGAAAAAAAGAAAACAGATAGAAAGCTTAACAACGAAAAAACAGATAGCTAGCATCATTGGCCTAGGCTTTATACGGGGTAACAGGATTTTAAAATAGCTCAGTGCTGTTTCATCTACTGGTTTCTTTATAGACCCTATCCAAGAGACAGAAGAACAAACTCAGATGTAGGCTCAAGTAGAATCAAAGATAGCAAACGGAAACAGATAGCTTACCCATGGACAGAGAGTTTGATTCAGAAGAGCTGTATGTTAGGGACCACAGAATGTTGATGTTGAATTTGATGACGATCTCTACATTGCTCTACCAGCAGTTTCTATTCTCACATTTAGGTGTATAGTTTTAGCAGTTCTGCACCCTATTGGGATTGCTTGACTACGAGGTCAAATTTAAGATGTTTTCAGAGGAAGAGAATTGTTTAGAAATGGTTTTTGATCAAATGTTTAGTATGAATCACACTAGCAAAAAAGTGACATTGTGAATATTACACAAAAAGACTTTCAAGGCCTTATTTTTATCTTCCTTTGAAGGAAAATTTTCACTTTACATTGTATTGTGAAGAATATTCACAAATAATGTACAAATATAAGAGACAGGGTAGTCCTCTTTCTCTGCGAGCTAGTTTTTGAGAATGATTTAAGTTTCTTCTATTCAGTTTGAAATCATGGTGTCAGATACCTTAATTGGGCTTTGAGGAGGAAATCATCACAAAAAGCCCATTTCTAATGCATTTAAATCCAACCAGCCCACACGCCCTGCAGAGATCTTCAAGTTCACGTTCAGAGAGAAAGATGAAGCTCCCGGACACTTGCCTCGTAGTCTAACGTGCAAAACACATCCCACTAATCAAAACTTGTAGAATTAAAATAAAATTTTCAGGGATACACATTCATTCTAGTCAGTGAAAGATTGAGTTGACACTTGACATCACTTTTAATAACTCAGTCATGGAAAGTGACATCAAAATCATCCTCCCATGCACAAACGTGAGATTGAGAGACTAAATTCATTTCATGTTATTGAGGAACTAAATTAATATTAACTTATTATAATTGAGAGAAAGAATTTAAGCTAGCAGGTTCAAATTAAGAAATAGCAACAAAAAACAACTGAGCAAAGTAAATAAATTTTTATACCTGACGTAGTGTTCTTAAAAATGGGATAACAGTAAAAGGCCCATCAAGTATGTAGGTGGTTGCGACAAATACGCCTCCGGGTCGTAAAACACGACTTATTTCAGCTACCTGTAACAACAGATCACAGAAATTATGTAGAAAAAAAGGGTCGATGTACAGACTAAACAAAATGATGCTTGCTAGGCATGACTATCTGACAAACTATGTATACTGCAGAGTGACAAATCAACTGAAGTAATTTATCCAAAAAAATTGAAGTAGCCTGTATTTAAAATCAGCTAGCATCATTAAGGGTATGAAAGATGTTCTTCATCATTGCTGACACAATACTGCATAAACCTTTTGGGATTCCTTTTTCTACCCTAGCCTAGTATAAGAACTTTTTGTTAACATCTCAAAAACCATGGTTAAATGATTTCCCAAAGCCACTGTCACAGATATTTTAAACAAATGAAATATTTTTATGTAAAATCCAAACATTAATGAATAATTATTGACTTACAGCTGCTAATGGTGAAGGCCAACAATGGAGAGCTGCACCAGCATGCACAGCATCAACAGAATTTGAAACAAAAGGGAGTCTAGATATGTCTGCTCTAACCAAGATGAAGTTCCTGACGACACAAATATTAAGGAAATATAACTTATTATGAATAAAAGGTATGTCTGAAACAGTTTCCTTAGAACGTTGAATTCTAAAGTTAGATATATTGATATATTAAAATTCTATTTGATTTAGAAATATAAATTGTGTACTCTTTTGGAAAGTTCTCTTCCTGCTGAATGAACTCATAACATTGCTGCAACATGTTTTCTGAATAGTCGAGAGCAACAACCAAAGAAAACAGCCCACTTTTTGCAAATAATCTTGAAAATAATCCACTTGCACAGCTAGCATCAATGATATTTCCGCCCAATACTGGCTTCAGGAAACTCTTCATCAATTCAAACTGCATTCAAATTCAGAGGAAGGCACCATTAGCTGTTAAAGCCCATCAAAAGGAAATGAACAATGAAACGGTCACACATCAACCAAATAAGTCAGCTATTCCTTTAAAAGTACATACAACAAGAAGCATGATGTAGAAGACATATTTCATTAGAATTTTAAACAGTTTCATCATATATTGCAGCACTGTGTCCAAATTCATATTCTTCTCACCAATCACCAAAAGGTAAATAAGACAAACTGAATAATATCGCTCTCGAGACATCCACTGGCTAAGTCTGGGCATATAGTAGCTAATGTGGATAGCTTATTGAATCCAGATAACTTATTTTTAACTCAGTTTGATGCGCTCAAATTTTTAGTTTATATCAAATTTTTGAATCAGTTTATGATGTTTCTCTAAACTCTAAAGAAAGCGATGTAATAAATATCAAGAATGACTATTATGATAGTAGCTTATTGAAGAAAAAGGAAGAGAAAGGACAAACAATAGAATTTATAAATGGGAAAAAATATGTATTATTTTTCATTTTAAATGTGGGGTTCATCAAGAGGGTATTGTCATTAGGAACAGAGACATATGGTTGACCTCTTTCTCAGGACCTGGAAAACCACCCCATACAGAAAAGGTTTGACGCCAGCCCCTCTCATAGAGAAATGATATCAATGGCACCCTGATTCAACAAACAAGTATGCATAAAAAGTAGCCAGTCAACTTCAAATTCAACTTTGCAACATCTAGACAACAAATTATACTGTTATGCAGCAGTGTGTCATTATTAACAAACTAAAATGATCAAATGCAAGTAAAGATTAGCCAGCAGATTTTTTAAAACAAAACATTTAATATGAAGAAAAAGAAAGGGAACTGGAATGCCTGAAAAGCTCTGTGGAAGCTGGCATGGATTCACCGTAGCTCTTAGCTCCACTTGTTGTGGTGAGATCAAGATGCGTTTGGTTACCGACATATGTTTTCTGACACGTGCTACATTTTAAAGCGGATCCAGGAATAGTATCACTGCATCAAATTTTCAAATGAAGAAACAGAAACTAGTTAACCACCTAACAATTAGTGAATACATAAATTCACACATATAATTGATTATTATTATTATTATTAACTCACACTGACAAACCAGGAACAGCGTTCCATGTCAACGAATCATAACAAACGGGACAAGCCAATGAGTTACTGCTCCGGCTAACTTCCTTTTCTTCTACGATGGAATCCTAAACGACGAAATTACATTGTTTGACAAAGTATTCGAACGAGAATTAATATGTATGGAATGAGGAAATTGAATTTAGGGATTGGAGGGAGAAGATGTGTTACTGTTGGATTGGTTTCGGTGTCGATGACGGCCGTAGAAGAAGAAGCTCGAAATCGAAGTGGAAGCGGAAGCTTTGCAGTGAAAGGAGTGGGTGAGCAGTGGCGCGTGGGGTGCTTGAATGAAGAGAGTCGTGGAGTGAGCGTGTACATACCGGTAACTGCTACGCCTATGGCCATTATCGACGCGATGCCTATCAGAACACAAATCGGAATCTTTGCGGAGGGATGCGTCGCATTGATGTCATGTGGATTCAAGTTTCCAGGGGGTGGACCGTGGACGTGTCACGTGTCAACATATCCCCTGGAGCTTTTTTTTTTTTTTAATAATATTAACATTATTCTCTAAACTAATTCTAAGAAGTTCAAAATAGTAATTTTTTATTAATTATTATAATTTTTAATATGATAATACTTTGATTTTTAACAAAACTTACTATTATCAAATCTTTAAGATTAGTTTTAAAAAAATTAAAAATTTATTCTTTTATGATTAATTCAACCTCAAAGTTTTTCTTTGAAAAATAATAAATAAAACCTACCCTTCCTCAAATACTTAAACAATTATAAATCTGCCCTTAAATTATAAATTTACATTTTTTTATCAAAACGAGAAAAAAATGTAATGATTTTTATTAGAAAATTTATTTATATTAAGTACTTCAATTATTTTATGTTTTTAAAATATTTTTAATATATTTAATTAAAATTTTAAATTTCACCACACCATATTGAGTTAATTATATTTATTTAAAATAATTAAAATTTTAAGATTATTATAACTGCAATAAATCTCAATTTGTATTTAATTTTCACATGTCATCAATAAATATTTTTTTTATGATACTTTATTCTTCTTCAAGACGTATGATTTTATTATATTAAATAATAACAGTAGTAGGAATAATAATAATTTTATAGATTTTATTTTGAATTTTGTCTTATATTTTGAAATCTTTGTATAATGTACGGGGCATTATCTGTACACTATGCTCTTTGATGAAGAACTCGAAGGTTGGAAAAGGGAACTTCTTAACCCAATATTCTTACCTTTTGAAGCATCACATTTATTAAAAATATTTACAAATTTTACTGTTTTAGACTTTCTCTGAAGATAAGTTTGTTTCAAAAACAATCATATGGTTTTAAAAATTATGTAATTTGATCAATTATATTATGTTATGTATATAATATTTATAATTTAGATAAAAACAAACAAATAATACGCGATGACATGTGAATGATGAGAATCATATGATCCTCAACCACTTAATAACTGGTTGCTTGTTTGGCATTAAAACTTGTTGGTAGATCAATTTAAATTTACCTGGCTACTATGAGATATTGAAAGAAATAGATAGTTTTCATCCAAGTCCTTCTACACTAAGTTTGTATAATTAAAGAAAATGGAAAGAAAAAGTTTTAAAAAAGAGAAAAAAATTGACTTAATAAAAAAAAATACACACTAAATTATTCTATTTATTTGATCAAATGGAAGGAGACAAGATGAAATCTCCCCTAAGGAGGTAATAATTTTATTGAAAGTTACAGTTTTTATTAAATACCTATATTATCCGTCATACAATATATTATTAAGAAAAAAGGATTACTTTACATATGGAAGAAATACCGTTACATCAAAATGTAAATTTTATTTCTTCCGATTTTTCTATCTAGTTGGTTTTCTATCTACGTAAAGAGAAAATTATTATTTTTCTCTGCAACTACTCATCTTCAATAATATCCAGAGGGTATTAATTGAAATGGATTCCCAAAAGATGCTAATGGCATTTTGAATGTCATTAATTGAAAGATGAAGGTGCTAGCACAAGATGAATTGTGACATAAAGCATGTTAGGCATGTTTGTGACAAGCCAACTCATATGCTAGCTAGTAGCTACTCTTTCAAAAACTTTTGGAATCATATTTGCTGTGTATCAGGCCCACCCAATGCAATATTTGTTACTTTAGCTTATATCTCTTATTGAATGCATTATGATTTTTTTATCTTAAAAAAATTTACTAATTGTATATATTTTGGATTTGATTTTAGATTTGGATGTGAAATTAGTTTTGTTTAAGGTGGGAGGATTATCCCTAAGCTCTAGACTCGTCATATCACATAGAGCCTACAAGTGCTTACTTGAGCTTTGTTTATGTGATGAAAAGCATGTCATTTATATTGATACCATGAGACTAATCTATAAAGATATTCCTTGTAGTCTAACCCAAAGTAATCAATACACTTTCTTAAAAAATTTAATTAGGTTCTTAAAGATTAATGTTGTCTTACCTCCATTAAGTATCGATGGAACGACCATTTTTATTAGATCACTCCCAACAACACTTTAAATTTTGATTTTCTATACTGCTATCAATGTTGGTAATGGCGTGTCGCAATCGGGAGATCGCAACGGTACAGCAAAAACGTTTTTAAGAAAAATCAGTAAAGTCGCCACCAAGATTTATCAAAGAAAACTTCAGAAAAACTTAAAATTTGGATCTTTGAAACCAAAAATGGATTCGGGAGTCCTTTACGTGTAGGGAAGGTTTTAGCACCCTACAACGTCTGTTTAAATAACGGTTACCTTAAATTAATTATACAAATTTATTATAATTTTTAAAAGTATTTTTTTTAACCATAAAAAGAATGTTGCTATTTTTATTTTTAAAGAAAAAATATCTATTTATTAAAAATATTAAGTTATATCTTAGAAAAGAAAAAATATTTTGACTCGACGGATATGATTCCGCTCCTACGTATCTTCAGGTGCAATGGAGAACTCAAAGTCACGTAATTTTATATAAAAATTACGAAATTAGTTGGTTACAATTAAGTTCTGTAAAAATAAAATTTATTTTTTTAAAATTAAAATTAGTTTTATAAAATTATAATGTTTAGAATACAAGATAACGTGGTCATACATGTACCCTAGAGAAACAATACGAACGGTGAAGGGAAATCACACATCCATATTGTAAGTCGTTGTAAAAACTGTGGTATTTAAAATCTGATATTTTAATTTACGAAAAAGTATTTTTAATATATAATTTAATTAAAAAAATAATATTTAAAGAAATTTAAGATAGTGTATGCTATACATAAATATCTCATGATTTATTTGTTAATCGAAGACAATGTAAATTACACATCTATATCGCAGATCATTTTGTTAAAATTTACTAAAAATATTTTCTTCAAGTTGGAAACATGATTTAAAAATTTTTAAATATGAAATCAATTTTAAAAATATTTAAAGAGAACAAATTAATATATTTAAATTGATTAATAAAGATAGATGTTTATTTGAGGAACTTAAAACATATTTCTAATAATTTTATATTGCGTAAGACTAAGATAATGTTGGTATACAAAGGTCTCGACAATTTAAAACGTACGAAGGTAGAGATGCTACACAATGACATTATAAATTGTTGCTTTAATAAAATAATTTTGATTTAATAAAAATAATAATATTTAAATAGAAAAATATTTTTGATTAATTAATAAAATAATTACCTAGTTAATAAGAATTAAAATATGATAAATTTATATTGTAAAAGACCAATGGTAACGTGGGTACACATGGATCTTATTAATTTATAATGCATGACGACAAAGAAGCTATACGTCATGTTATAAGTTAATGCGAACACTTTATTTATTTGTGATATAATTTTTAAATAAAATGAAATTTACCTATCATTGAATAAAGAATTGATATAGGAATTTACATTATGTTCACTTTGTATATAAATAAAACAATGACAATAATAAGAACATTAATAGATAAATAAGAGGTGTATGATTAAACAAATATAGCAACAATAAAAATATTAGACAAAAAAAAATTAAATTTTTAACATTATTTTTCTTTATCTGATTTAGTTAATTTTTACTTACTATTTGTGAATCATAAAAGTGCCAAATCAACAAAGGATGAAAGAAAGAAAAAATAAAATAAAATAAAATAAATAAAAGGTAAAAATATATCGTATATGCATAAATGAATGATAAAAGTTTTATATAACTAGTGCTACTGCAATGTGTGTGTATATATATAGATGGCAAATATACATATATCTGGATTGCAATCAATATATAATATTATGACAATTATGAGATGCATCATGACAGCGCCTAGTGTAAAGCTATCATGCAGGTTTTATATTATTATAAAAACAAAAGTATAGTGCCTAAATGAAAGGGAAAGCACTGTAGAAAGTTCCAGAACTTCTTTGCAAAGCCATCCAACATATTATTTTATATTATTAGAAAAAGACAAAACTACATTGCATAAACGAAAAGGAAAGTGCTGCAGAAGGTACCTGAACTTTCTCGCAAACCGAATTGGAGGATAGAGACGAAAAAATATATGACAAGAGAGAAGATGAGAAATAAAATGAAGAAGAAGACCCTTCCTCTTTTTCTCTTTTCTGTTCTATAAGAATTTTTTCTCTCTTGCTGATAGCTGATCTGTTCTTCCCTCTTCCTTCTCCGGTCTTCCCCTTCCTCCTCTTTTTTGTTGTTCTCCTATCTCATTCTCTTATAGTTTTTTTTTGTGTGTGTTCTTTCTTCGATTGCCCCCCCCCCTTTTTCTTCTTTTTTCAGTTGCCTTCCTTTATGTTCAGTCCTATGCTATTTTTGCTTCTTGAATCACACCTCTTCTCCCTTGCTCAAACACTCCATCCTATTTTTTGTAACTTTCAAATCTGAGTATATATTTGCAAGCGGCGTTAACAGTTTGCATGCTCACTATTTCTCTCACTATCATGGCACTGAGTTTCATATGCGACCCATCACAGGGTAATTTTGATAACGTCATTTTTGGCATCACATTCAGAGAGGACCTGTTATCAATAAGTACTCTAGCAATGATATGATCTCGACACTTCACAGAAATATGCAGCGCTCTATTGTACCCCATTCCTTTAGCAAGTATTTCATCGTCAGTGAAAGTGAGATAGTTATTTGAAGCAATATTACTGACAATGCCCCCAAACTTGTCAATAGTTATGTCATGATTGACATGTGCTTCATTTAGCACCTTCATTAATATCTTCCTGTGTGGCTCAGAATTCAGCAGTAGGGATAGAAGAGATTTCTTAGCTAGAGTGCGGTTTAATTGCTCCACAACTTGATATTCACTTTGCTTAATAAACTTTAAAAATTCATAAGCTTCTTCGTCAGATACCGTCTTTTTTTGTTTCAAGCATTTTTCCTTCATCTACATCTTTAGAGTCTCCCAATTTGGCCTTCCCCTTTGAAGATCTCTCTGTTTC